ATCCATCCATCCATCCATCCATCCATCCATCCATCCATCTATCTATCTAGTTTAACAACCTTTAAAAAGTGAATGAATGAATGGATGTGTATGTATGTATGTATGTATGTATGTATGTATGTATGCATGTATGTATATATACATATACACACACACATACATACATACATATACAGTATACACTGTACATTCATTATCTTTACCCACTTCTTCCTTTTTGGGTCACGGGGGTCACTGGTGTCTATGTCCAGCCATCGTTGTGTGAGAGGCGGGGGACACCCTGGACAGGTCTCCAGTCCATCACAGGGACACATAGAGACAAATGAGTCAAACAACCATTCACTCTCTCACTCACTCCTAGGGACAATTTAGTGTTACCACTCAGACTAACGTGAATGTTTTTGGTCTGTGGGAGGAAACCGGAGTACCCAGAGAAAACCCACGCATGAGCAGAGAACATGCAAACTCCACCCAGAAAAGCCCCCCCCCCCCAAGCCAGGATATGATCCAGCAACCTGCTTGCTGAGAGGCAGCAGCTCTACCAATTGCACCACTGTGCCACTATTCATATATATTTTATATTTAAAAAGTGCAAAGCATGTGGAACGTGAACATGGTTTGATTGCAAAAAAAAACAGAATAAACTTTAAACAGCAGTGTGAAGAATCAGCATTCATATAATAATGATGGACAAATTAAAAAAAGCTCAAATTATGTTTTATGTTGCACTGACTTGTAGCTGGTTCTAAAAAGATGATAAAGGCTCTTTTTTCCTTTTCTTTAATTTCAGGTGGATCTTGTACGAAGGAATCAACTATCGAGGTGCACAGATTTTGCTGAAACCTGGTGAGGTTCCCGACTGGCGCCGGTTCAGCAGCTGGCAGAAAATCGGTTCCCTCCGCCCTCTCACACAGGTTCGCTCCAGACGTGTCACCCTGAATGCAAAACATGCGAAAGATCAAACATGTCAGATCTAACACGTCTGTTTTAACATTCAAACGGAGACCAACAGAAAAGAAATCCCATTTACTTCAGTAACCAGAGATGTATTTTTGGTTTGTGCGTGCAGAAGCAAGTGCATTTCCGTTTAAGGAACAGACAGTCGGGGTTAATGATGTCAGTGACCGGTGATTTAGACGAAGTCAAACTGCTGCGGATACAAGAAACGGAGGAGACGGATGGCTTGGAGCAGATATGGTTCTACCAGAATGGCCAAATGCACTGCAAGGTACAAGTGGAATCAAGATCCTAAGTACTAAATGTCAAAAAGGTCCGGGGAAGTTAAATATTGCTGCGATTTAGAGAATCTCTAATTTAAAGCAGGGTTCAAAGGAAAAGATAAAGCTCCTGTAGGTCTATGCTCAAACAAACGTCACATTTTAAATTATCGCATGATCAGATTATTCCTAAAATGAAGTCCTGATGTCAACAGGATCACTTCCCTACAACTATTTTAAAATTTGACAATAGTCGTGAAAATTTATTTTAATGAAACTGAAACTTGTGCTGGGTTCATTCATCTGTGTGCAGCTGTTGGAGGAGTGCTGCCTGTGTCCCAGTGGCAGCGTCACAATCGCAGGAAGCCGAGTGGGTCTGACACCAGAGCTGGACAACCAGATCCACCTCTGGAGCATCACCTCGAAGGGCTTGATCTGCTACACGCCCAGCGCTGACCTCGTCCTGGACATCAAAGGTACCATCTCTCACATGGAACCTCTCATAAAAACAGCTTCATATTTTTTGGAGCGATGAGGTACAAACAATATCTTACCTGCTGTAGATAGCTCTTTGAACATCTCAGACTGGGGAAGTTCAATTCTGATCATATTAATGAGCTAACTGATTTTCACACATTATTGATCTACATGAAAACAGGTGAATTAGAATCAATTCAATCATGACTACAGTCTGTATTTTTATTTTTTACGTCCGCTGCTAGTAGAGCTAGCTGTACTTTTCCAGGCTGCATGTGTTGTTTCTGCCATCTTACGTTTATTTTGATAGGATTACAAAGCGGAAACAAGGATCATGGGTGAGCTCAGCTTTGCTGTATGTGTGTGTGGCTGGGGGGATAGGCTTGAATAGTCAAATAAAATATAAATATTGATAGAATTGAACAGTTTTGGACTGAAAACTACTCCTTTAAAAAAAAAAAATTGTGGTTCATGCGATCGCTATTTTTATAAACCTTTACTACCTTTTTTAATTTCCCAGATATTTCCACTGAAACTTCCCCAGGCTGCACCAGAAGTGCTACAGCTAACTGCTGCTGCCACTATTTGTTTTTGCAAACTATATGATTCTGTTTAAATAGCTGGAAAATTGACAATTCTGAAAAATATTTTGCATAAATTGTAACAAGTTTCAAGGCTGGAATTTGTTTTGTTTTTTAACACAGCAGCAATTTACTTGGGTCTTGGCCCTGCTTAAGCTAGCCATTAGCTCATCAATCCAAACAAAATCATTCTGTTTTTTTCAAATAGAGGCCTTTCAAAGAGTTAAATTGTATATAACCTTTCCTCAGAAAGGTAACAATAAAGTGATTATTCATACAAGGCACATAGTTTTATATTTGCTGTAAGGGCACTTTATTTACCTTATTTTTTTAATAATATTCAAGGTATCACTGATGTTTAATTTAATGAACAGGTTTAATTACTAAGTTGCCCACATAAGTTTTGTCTTCTAGATTCTGAGTTTTCACAAGACTTTTTTGTTTAATCATGTCAGTGGTTACAAATTGGTCACTGCAGTCAAATCAAATCTCCTGACAACTCAAGAGCATCATGTGGAGAAACCTTTCTATCCCTGTCTGTTAGTGACACCTTGTGGACTGATCCACATTGCTCATTGTAAATCTGTTTTCTTTCAGGTGGCGTTAATTACGACAAAAACCAAGTGATTCTGAACACACTTGACCCAAACAAACCACAGCAAAGGTGGGACGTGGAGGTTATATGAAGAGCCGAGGCGATTCGTTTTAATATGGGAGGTGTAGCTCTGATGGAGACTTGTGTCCAAAGACGAGCTGTGGCATCGGCGTGCGACCTGCAGCAGCAGAGCTGAACAAAAACTAAGAGGTCAACTACGTACTGATACCTGCCGACTATACAAGAAGTGGGCTCTGAACTGGAAATACTTATATTTTACACCTCAAGTAACAATTCCTCAGATTTATATGTTTTATGTTTTTACTGAATGAAATTGTTTCTTCATGACAGTGTTATGCTTATATCATTTTGAGTAATGCCAAATTATCTTAAATGCATGCAATAAGAGCAAATACATACAATTTGTCTGTTGTTTACAATTAGAACTAAACACAGCTGCTCTAATAAATAAAACTATTTTGTCAATATGTTTTTATAAATGCATTGTACAAGCACAACTGGTGTTTAACAAACAATATATTTTGGAGTTCAAAATGTATTTATTTGCTGTTCAAACGCAAAAAAAAAAGGCTTTCTGTTTAAATAACTTGCGCATAAAGTGAAACACAATATGGTGGACACTGCATGGCAACACACATAAGGGCAAAGAGTTCTTGGTCTTTTAGAACAGGTTTAACCCGTTATATGTTTTTAATTCCAGCGATATCAGAAAACTAACAGACGAGCTTCATTATACAACTCCAGGTTGTATCAATTGCACCAATCAAGTCAATAAAAAGTCTGCTTGCTGATGTGAAAGGTATACAGGTGCTGGTCATAAAATTAGAATATTATGAAAAAGTTGATTTATTTCAGTGATTCCATTCAAAAAGTGAAACTTGTATATTATATTAATTCATTACACACTGTTTATTTCTTTTAATGTTGATTATTATAACTGAAAACTAATGAAAACCCCCAATTCAGTATCTCAGAAAATTAGAATATTGTGAAAAGGTTCAATATTGAAGGCACATGGTGACGCACTCTAATCAGCTAATTAACTCAAAACACCTGCAAAGGCCTTTAAATGGTCTCAGTCTAGTTCTGTAAGCTACACAATCATGGAGAAACTGCTGACTTGACAGTTGTCCAAAAGACGACCATTGACACCTTACACAAGGAGGGCAAGACGCAAAAAGTCATTGCTAAAGAGGCTGGCTGTTCGCAGAGCTCTGTGTCCAAGCTCATTAATAGAGAGGTGAAGGGAATTAACCGATGTGGTAGAAAAAAGTACATGAGCAATAGGTATAACTGCACCCTGGAGAGGATTGTGAAACAAAACCCATTCCAAAATTTGGGAGATTCACAAAAAGTGGACTGCAGCTGGAGTCAGTGCTTCAAGAACCACAACGCCCAGACGTATGCAAGACATGGGTTTCAGCTGTCGCAGTCCTTGTGTCGAGCCACTCTTGAACGAGAGACGGCGTCAGAAACGTCTCGCCTGGGACTGCTGCTGAGTGGTCCAAAGTTATGTTCTCTGATGAAAGTAAATTTTGCATTTCATTTGGAAATCAAGGTCCCAGAGTCTGGAGGAAGAGACGGGCACAGAACCCACGTTGCTTGAGGTCCAGTGTCAAGTTTCCACAGTCAGTGATGGTTTGGGGGCCATGTCATATGCTGGTGTTGGTCCACTGTGTTTTCTGAGGTCCGAGGTCAATGCAGCCATTTACCAGGAAGTTTTAGAGCACTTCATGCTTCCTGCTGCTGACCAACTTTATGGAGATGCAGATTTCATTTTCCAACAGGAATTGGCACCTGCACACAGTGCCAAAGCTACCAGTATCTGGTTTAAGGACCATGGTATCTCTGTTCTCAACTGGCCAGAAAAGATGTCTGACCCCATAGAAAATCGATGGGTATTGCAAAGAGGAAGATGCGATACGCCAGATGTGATACGCCAGACCCAACAATTCAGAACTGAAGGCCACTATCAGAGCAACCTGGGCTCTCATAACACCTGAGCAGTGCCACAGACTGATTGACTCCATGCCACGACGCATTGTTGCAGTAATCCAGGCAAGAGGAGCCCGAAGTACTGAGTGCTGTACATGCTCATATTTGTCGTGTTCATACTTTTCAGTTGGCCAACATTTCTAAAAATCCTTTTTTTTATTATTGGTCTTAAGTAATATTCTAATTTTCTGAAATACTGAATTTGAGGTTTTCATTAGTTGTCAGTTATAATCATCAACATTTGAAATATATCAGTCTGTGTGTAATGAATGAATATAATATACAAGTTTCACTTTTTTTTTAATGGAATTACTGAAATAAATCAACTTTTTCAAGATATTCTCATTTTATGACCAGCACCTGTGTTTTTATCATCAGATGTAAAATAAGTGCCTCATAACAGTACTCAAAGGTGTAAACTCCAACAAGAACAACCTTCAGCTCTTCTTACGGACACGAGTCATGCTTGTTATCTGCTGCAAACAGCTTTTCTATGTGGATTCTGCAGTCTGCTGTCCAGCGCGGACTTGTAAAGGTAAAAAGAGTCTTGGGAGTAATTCTCTTGGCACTTGCTTTGCCTCTTTAGTTTTACTGTGCTGCTTGTTGCGCCTCGTCCTCCGTACAGCTGTCATCTTCTTCCGTGACCTTTATCACCGTCTTCCCTCTGGCGTGACCCTCTTCCAGCTTGTGGAAAGCCTGAGGCACCTGAGCAAATGGAAACTGGGCTTCCACGACTGGCAGGATCTGAAACAAACCGGCAAGAACAGGAATTAAAAACCAAAGAGTCTTTCGGGGGAAATTTAAAACCTCATATTGCCACTCAGCATCAGAAGCTCCTACAGTTCTTGTTTTTAAGCTGCTTCTCTACCTTCTTGGGCTCTAACTTGATAGCAGTCCTTGTTCTGCTCTGTGGGTTCTGGTTGACTGGGTCAACATCTAACTCAAGTTTTAACAATTACAAGCCAGAATTCAAGGTAGTGGATTTTAAATTTGTCCGCAGGAATCAAGGTCTCCCACAACAACAGTGGCCAAGCAAGTTCGACAAAGACAAACTTTCTTCCTTTAGCCTGACTTAAAATGCTACTAATCTATGGTGCTTTGCCACTGTCTCAACTCTCGTTGGTTCTGGACCACACCGCACCAGTTAAAGGCCGGCCCACTATCGGTACCCACCCCCACTCAGCCTGGTGGGAGCACCTTGTTTGTGGTTCCAAGAGAGCTGCTCTGAGGTGACAGTTCTGACACAAGCACACAGCAGCTGTTGATTGGCCGGCGGAGCTACGTCGCTGGATGACCCACCCATCAGAACTGCAAACTACATCTGAACTTCCACTTCCTCTCCGATTATGTTGACGGATGGCGCCACAAGAAATGAGCACATTTACAGAGAGAGAGATGACTACAACCAGACTTATAAGTAGTGCCGGGATAAGCTAACGAAATTAAAGTCCAGTTATAGAGCGATTAAGGACAACAACAGGCAGAGTGGCTCGAACTCAGTGACATGTTACGATTTCACCTACAGAGTGCGAAAACAAGTCACAGTGTCCAATCACCTACACCTGAGAAGAACCAAGTGAAGTCACAATTATCAACAGTAAAGTGGCTGTAGATCCTATGAAGGAGCTTGATGCTGCTGTTAACTCGTGCACATTCACATGAAGATTTCCCTCATCATCTGATGCTTTTTCCTCTCAAAGTACACCAATTCAACAAATAAAGTTACAAAGAAATAAAAATCTCTGCTTGTCCCAAGACATCATTTGTAAAAGACAACATGTAGTGGTCTATTAACTGAAAGAGAAGAAATAAATATCCCTATAGGAAAAGACCTTAGCCACATTTAGGATAGAATTATTCCTCATTTGCTGTGGAAAACTATTAGTTGTACATCAGAATAATACCTGCTGCTGTTTACATCATGACAAAGATGTGAAACCTTTAACTCCACAATCAAGTCGCTTATTTTGCTCAGACATGAGAAATATGACACTTTCTGGTTTACAGAGATACTTGGGAATTAAATACAGGCCTAATATTAACAGTTTAGATGTCTCAGTAATGCTTTTAGAAATGCATTGTACAAACAAACGCAACTGGTGTTTAACAAACAATATATTTTGGAGTTCAAAATGTATTTATTTGCTGTTATTCAAACACAAAAAAAGGCTTTCTGTTTAAATAACTTGCGCATAAAGTGAAACACGATATGGTGAACACTGCATAATGGCAACATGCCGATCTAAAAAAAAAAAATCTAAAAAACTGTTACCATTAGTATTATTTCATACTGCAGTCTAACTGCACCTTCTTATTGACATACAGCAGAAAATGTGGCTTACACATATTTTTAGCTTTTCTTTACACTAAAAATCATGAGATAATTAAAAATTAAAGTTCTTGGGAAGATTTTACCTTAGATTAAAATCTTTAGGCTGAAGCTATAATAAGAGTGAATGAATAAATGAACACATATCCCTGAATAAACATTGTAATTAAATTCGACTTTAAATGCCGACATTTAATAATTTCATCAAATCCTAAAAGTGGCGCACCGACTGCCTTAAAATGACGGTGGATTTTTATTATTATTTGGCTTTTATTTCAAATCTTGCAAAGTTAGGCAGAACTATGATGACAGAAATGTCTGACATCATTATGAAGGAAGTAAGTGAACAAGTTGTGTTTCTTACTGACAGCTGATCGAAACTCAAGCCACTGTTACCATGGAGACTCTCGCAGTCGCACATGCTCTGACCAACCAACAGATAAGGTAATACAAGACACAGCAAGGTTGTTCACGTTTTCAAAATAAAATTTTTAAAAAATTACAGCACCGTAATATTTTAGACAGACAAAAATATGCTTTTGTTTTAGCGACAACAGTTACTTTTTCCCTTTGATTTTCTTTCTGTTAAAGACATTTTCTTAAGGAGTCTAATCTTTAAAAGCATAAAACTAGTTTTTTGCTTAAAATGAGGCAGTGTGATTTTTAATGACCATTTAAATATGGTTTGCAAGCTTCTAATGCTTCATCATAAGCCAATGTGAAACCGTGATGAAGGGGTTTAAAATGTGATGAGGCTGGACAATCCTGAGCTAGTCCCACAACACAAGCAGCTAAAGGCTTGTTATTCTGGTCAGCATCTCTTGTCATTAACAATGAATGGAGAGCGGGGTGGCATCACTGGATCCCATTCACGCTCCTGACTGCAAACGCAACATTCAGCGTGCACGTGTGTGTGTGTGTGCTTCCCGCCATCGATCAGAATGCACTGCTGTCTGTAAGCCCCCCCGAACAAAAGGACAGAGGATCTGCACGCTTGTGCGACTGGCTGCTCAGCACAGTTTTAAAATCCATTCTCAGTTTCCTGGCGCCTAACCCAGTCACCCCGCACACCAGCACACCACCCACCTACCTAACCAAGCACAGCAGCAATCCAACACACACTCGTCACAAAGCCACAGAAAGGACATGAATACAGGCATGTAGGGAATCCCAGGCATGTTCATATCATCTGCTCTGCATGATCTACATCCCAGCATGAACTTCACTCTCAGGCTGTCTGGTGTGCAAATGAGGCAGTTCCTTTCCCCTCCATCCTGTCGGTCAAAATGGTATAAATATTAAAACAATACCTTTCCTGCTTCCACCAGCCTGCAGACATCATCCAAGGCAGGTCCATCTGGAGCATAAAAAGCCCACCTGTAGAAGACTCCGTTTGATATTATGTTCTAGGAGGAGTAAAAAGAAGAGAAATTAGACCGATGTGATACAGACGTACTTCTGACTTTCAGTTTCCAGAGATATTTGATTCAGGCCCTTGTAGTTATACTAGTAAAATTATTGGTAATAAAAGCCAGTGTCTAAAAATGTACACTCCAGCTGTATTCGTTTTAATTCTATCCTACGAAGACGAAATCTGAAAAGATCATCCTGGCAGATATGTTTAAAATATCACCACAGATGTAAGGCTTCAAAAATGTGAAATACAAATAATAATAAAAGAATAAAATAATAACAACATCAGTGTGTGTACAGCAAAAGAAGTGCTTGGACTGCAAGAAAACTTGACCTACAATATTTCCAACTGATATGCATTCACACTTCACACATCAGTAACATTTCTGGCCAATCAGATGAACCCTAACGGCCCTGTGTCCTCACACCTGTTCAGATTATTAGTGGCTAAAATACTAAAACAGTGTTGTGATGACCAAAAAAAAGGAAAAAGAAAAGCAAGGAAAATGTGGTCTTTGCTTTTCACAGATCACGTGGTAGTTGTAGATATGTTGATTTGTCAAGTGAAGGTGATTCCCATTTTATTTTTTTTTTTTAAGTAACGGCACACCAAGTAAACATCCCCAAAACACAAGTGGATAAGGCGGAAAAACTATTTCCATGCACTGCTTTGTAAGGTGGATATTTATAGATAATTGTCTCAAATTTGCTGCATCATTTTGACACACGTGTTGACTTCAGTGAATTTATCCAGGCTTAAATAGAAAGGAGTGCTTATGCTCAACACTAGAGGGCTCAGGTGTGCTACGATCCCTGTGAGATGAGCTGGGATGAGGGCAGGGTGGGCACTGCTGCAGCTGAGCCACACCAAACTGACCAGCTGGCTGCCCTCGTAAACAAAAGAGCTGGAGGCTTGGCAAGAAACGCAGAAACACTGGTATTTGCCGGAGGGAGTCAGTCGACTGCAATCTGAACAAACATTGAGTTCTGCCAGCTCAGCAGCAAACACAACTGCGCGCACACACACACACACACTGTATTTCAGCTAATGCCCACACTCACACCCATCGTCTCATTGACAGATGACTGATTTCCTCCACTGGCCAGAACAACCTCACCCAGTCCTCCTCTGTTCATCCTCAACAATCATGGTGTACGCAGTGAACGGTGCAGCTCGAGGGCCACATTTAGATACTCTTAAAATTCCTTCCTCACATGCACATGGTTAGATTTATTACGCCTGTTAGCATACATTTATAACAATACAGCTTAACCCTAAACAAAAAAGAAAACAAGTTATGAAAACAGGTCAGATAATTACACATTTTTCCTTCCAGTTTAAACCTGAACTTCAACTATGAGCAACTGAAGGAGGTAAAATGTAGAAACTCTGAAGTGTCTGAACAGGACTGCACTTGATGCTCATTTGTGTGGACATTTTCTATGAATTAAAGCAGTACATACCCCAGCTGAGGAATTCATGAGAAAAATAAGACTTAGTAGTGCATTTTGTTGGAGATGAATGTTGGCTTTAAGCACCCTTACCTGAAAGGCTCGGTTATGAAGACTGAACAAAGCGTGAAACGTCCCGTCTAACAGGCCCATGGAGTCCGTGTTGAGAAGTAACGGGGATACCAGTGTGACGTGCTTTGCCCCCGACCATGGCTTCAGCAGGCCCGATGCCCACTGCTCTGTATCGCCTCCTACGTTGTCTAAAATCAAATCAAACCTGGTGGTGAAAGCACAAGATGAATAACTTGAGGAAAAAGTACTTTTGAAGAAAGGTTGAAAATCCAAGAACTACAGCAAATTTCCAGTCCAGGTATCCTGTTCATGGGTCTTCCGTACATTTTTCAGCATCTAACTCGTCCTGCAGATTTTAAGCTCTTTCAGCAATTAAGTTATCAAAACGTTCAGCTCGTTTAGGACACTCCTGCTACGACTTTTGATATTGATATATTTTAAACTCTTTGAAATATTCAGCTCTTCCACCTATGAAGTCCATTCAACTTTAAAACAATTCTAAAGACATTCAGCTATCGTCAACTGATTCAGCATTTTGATATCTTGAACCGTTCTTGTAAAATCTGAGTTTAAGTTTGTTAAAAGTTTTGGTGTTTGTCTGCTGTCCTGCTGCGTTTCCATAGTAACATGATGTTTACTCTGTGCAGCTGGGAGACTCCTGTAAATGTCCAACTGATGCTCATGAGTGTGTGTGTTACTATACTTTTAAAATCTGGTAATTTCTTAAAGCATATAAATGAAAGTTACTTCTCCATCATATCCAGCTGTTCAGCCACATCTCCTGCTGTGTAGTCCACTACCTCGTCAGCCCCCAGCCCTCTAAGGAGGCCTTCAGCGTTCTGAGAGCAGGTGACGGTAACATGTGCACCCCAAGCCTTTAATAGCTGACAGTACATGGAAAAACAAAACAAAAAGATTATGATTGCAACAAGAAGCCTTTCTTTCATCAAATGTCCCCACAGCTAAAGGAAAATACTTTGCCTTACTTGAATAGAGAATGTTCCGACACCTCCAGATGCTCCGATGATCAAAACTCTGGAGGGGAAAAGCCCAAAAGTTAAACGATTGTTCAGTTTCTGGGTGATTCATTTATTGCAAAGCTATGAAAACAAATAGAAACCTCAAGAGGTAAATATGATTCGGCAGACTGGAAAATATTAACTCAAAAAGAAGCGAGAGATGCTCATAGAATAAATAGATTAAAATTTGACATTTAAGGTATTTGACTCTAGTATTATAAAAAAATTAAAAACTATGACTCAGCTACTGAGATGAAGAGCAGAAATTAAGTCAAACCTTCAAAAGGACAGGTGATATAGTTTAATACAGTTTTTTTCTAAAAGTACTCTGAATCACTCTGTTTAAGTTGTGTAAAAAAAACAGCTGCTGTGAGATTAAAGGTTCATTACAAACAAAACTACTCAAAATCAGGCTGATGCTTGCCTTTTATCTGAAGCGTTTTCCCTGCAAACACCACCTGCACTGACGAGTGCTGACAGAGCAGTGTTGGCTACGTAGGGGATGGACGCTGCTTCTATGTGACTCAGGGATTTCGGCTTATGGGAAACCTGCAAAAAAACAGCCACACGGACAATTGATTGAGCTGCTGACAAAATTAAGTAGAGCGCAAAAAGAAAAAAATAAGCCACTTTAAGTGTCCCTGTAACTGCAGCCAGAGCAACTATTGCAACGAAACAAACTTAATCCTTATGAGTTCTTACACTGCAGGACTACATCACAGGGTCCAGTTATTTTATTCACTTTAAATAAGAGCTCTAAATTCTTTTTCGTTTTTAGCTTTTCTCTTCATCTGAAAACTGAGTTAGTGCAAATTACTGTAAGTCCCAGATCCAAATATACACACATTGCGCTCATTCTATTCCACAGCTCACCTCATATTCTGTCAGAGTCACATATTCTGCCAGACTGCCTTGTTTCCAAGGAGGAATCGCAGCCCACACCTAGAACAGCAATATGACATTTAACAAGGTGAGCACAGCTCAAATTAACCACCCACTCGCAGACTCCAAGTCTGGATAATCAAATGTCTTAGTCTTGACGGTTCCTGTTCATCATAAATTAGCTGCTTCAACAATGTTACAAGAATGCATTTGGAAATACTGTATATTTGTGATAATTTATTACAGTGATTGCAGTCACTTTAAGAAGAATATGTTAAATGATGTCCACACAAAAAACAGTAACCTGAATATGTAGGAGACAGCACAGTGGGCGTCTATAATCATTACAAATCAGATTCATGTAATGACCGAGCAACAAGAGTCATTTCTCCAAGAAAATCAGTGAAGAATAAACCCTGAAGTTGCACTCATTAAGCATGAACGCTGAGGATGCAGACCATAAATATAAACCTGCATAACATCAGAATAAAACATCGTCAATATGAATATCAAGGGTTAAAAAAAGTAATAAACTAACTTAACTTTACTGAAATAAACAGCTTCAAATAAGGCCTGTTGATTAGTTGACACAGAAACTTCTGTTCCACAATATACTGGGCAGTAACATTTAATTTTAATTTTTCGTTCATTTTCTTTACTTTAAATAAGTCTCAAGCCAACCTTCATTTCTTTATATTTTGCTTCTATGGTGCCCAACTTCCTTGACATATTTTAAAATGATTATAAAAAATTATTCCCCAGGTTATATTGAGGTTTTTTAATAAGTTTCTTTGAACATAAATTGATTTTTTTTACTCATTTTTAGTCCAGTTTTTGTACCAAACAAGAACTGAACTCAAAATAAAAGACACTGTAAATAAAAACTTGGGACAATAACTGCAGTGTTCATTCAAAAAATTAAAAGAAGAATGGAGAAGTGCAGGATAAAAGAAAATGCTCTTAAATATGTTGTAAAGCAGATAAACTATATCTAGCAGGAATGTATTAAAAATAGGAAAAACAAGACTTCATTCCTTTATATTTTGCTTGACCTGACCTGACACAAAATCTGAAAAATAAATCATCCTTCTTTGATTGTTGACTTTACGTCAATGTTTTTCTTAACAGATTTTTTGAGAATCACCTTGTTGGTACTAAAATACCATATTATGCCTGTTGAACTGTATTACATTTGCAGTTATTATAGTTTCTTTCGACTAAAAAAAAACTGGAACAAATTGTATTTGCAAGACTAATTGTAACAGTAAGACTAAAACTAGAGTTTTTATTTTTTCAATTTGTCTCTTTTTAATGCAGTCACAATCTCTTGTGTTTAGACACCTACTGGTTTTTAAAGTTTAAGAATTCATAGGTTAAGTTAAATGAATTGAACCAAAAATATTTTAAAAATTGTCAAAGAAAAATTTCAGAAAGCCTGGAAAACTATTACTCAAGGCTGCTTTAAAAACAATGAACTTAAGAATGACTCAAAACTTCTGCACGGCACTATATGACATTTGCAACAGTTCTTATTTAAACTAGCAAAACGTTAAATAAATAAAAATATATATTTGCTAGAGGTTCCTGTCTTGTTTATTTTAATAAAAATATTTATTGTCTGCAACAGACTTTTTAGATTTAGAGTTTTATATGTGCATTTATGTTTTTGGAACAAAATAAATATTAGAAATTCAGGTGATACCAAGCACCTTTGGTAAACTACACAGTAAAGTTGTAACTTTAATCATGAAACTGAAAAAAAAAGCATATGACAGTTTAAGACAAAACTTGGCGTTATTATCTTTGAATATATTTTACAATATCTGTAGCATGTAAATATATTACCCATGCAGTTCCAGTTAAAGGTTCACTGTACTGTGAAGGCATTGCGATGTGCCTGTGTTTATTTTTTCTTAAAACAATGAGTGTGTAACGAAGCATTTACCTCATCTCCAGGAGCATAGTGTGTTACCCCAGATCCACAATCCACCACTACACCTGACAGATCCCGACCCAGAATGAGTGGAAACTCACTATTGGTATTCATCACAGATAAGGGATCCCTTCTCAAGTTCAGCAATGCTGCCCCATATCCTCCTATTTGGAAGAAACGTGCAAAAGAAATTAGTTCAAATCAAATGATATCCTTTATTCCTTTGAATAACACTGGTAGTATTGTCATGGTTTACCTCTCATAGACACATCCAGAGGGTTTAAACCCGCTGCACTGACTTTTATCAACACTTCATTGGCAGAATTAATAGCTGGTATGGTGATATCTTCTGTGAACCTCAAAACTCCATTAGTACCATACTGGTCGATGACCCAGGCTGACATGCAGCTCTGCAGTCTTGAAGGTGAACTGCAGACATTTCTCCTGAAGTTGCAGCACCCAGCATGAACTAATGTTTTGGTCAAACTTGCTGCTTTCCCGTTGAACAAACAGAGGAACCTGGTTGATGCCAAAGCTCTAACAAACCCCATTTAAGCCGATTTACAGTGGGCACCGTCAACTTTCAATACGATATGACATTTAGAGGAGACTCCTTACTTCGATAGCAAGCTAGCAGCTATAGCTAACATTAGCATGTTTAGTTTGTCACCGAATCAAAACGTATCATGCATTAAGGTTAACAGCAGCCGAAAATAATTAAGCGACAACATCTCTGTGCGCTATTTCGAAGTTACATTTCATAAGGTGGAAGTACTGTTTTAAAATTTACTCATACAAGACTTCTCTTTTTGTCTCTTTGCTAAAGAAAGATTACCAAACGGGTTAGCGCTGACACTGAAAATGTAGCCAATCAGATTTTAGTATACAAATAATCTGACCAATAGCGTAAGAGAATTGGTTCTGACGTATGATTTTTAGTACGTCACGCGGAAATTAGTTAAAATTTTTACATAAGCTTTTGTCATATACTGTAAATCGCTTTAAATAACGATAGTGGTGAGAGCTAAGTTTTCTAATCCACAGGTAAAAAATTCTTCTTATTATTATATAAAAACTTGAGTTTTTTTTTTTAATAAATGTTAACAACTATGAAATACGAAAAACAAGTATACTTTATTTATGAAGGAATAAAGCTATAGTAATGTGCAAAAGTTTTAAAGAACAAAATTATGTCGGGACCCTGCTCTTTAGTAAATCACTAAATCACTGTAATCATTAAATCAATTTCTTATTTTAGCTTTTCGGGGTTTACCACAGCAAGACAAAAGATGCAAGAAAAGCTTTGCAGAGAGTGGTGAAGCATCTACACCTCCAGATTCAGCAAATATGGCCACCTGCATCATGAAGGACCCCACTCACCCAGCACACACTTTTTGCCCCACTCCCCTCATGCGATTGAGGAGCATTAAGTGTAGAAGCACTAGACTGAGGAACATCTTCTACCCTGAAGCTGTTAGACTCATGAATCTCTAACCAGGATGATCACTGTGAAAAAAAATCACTATAATGCCACTTTGATTATTGATATGTGCTGCTGATTATTCATGCTGCTGATTTCATGCTGCTGTACTCGGTGTATTGTTTTGCACTATTAGTGTTTAGCGTATATCTTAGATTATTTAGCGTACCGTTTGGCATTCGTTTAGTGTATATCTTAGTTCATTTTGAAGATTCTTATTTACTTTTACTTTTTCTTTTTACAATTTATATTTTTGCTATTGTTGTGTGTAACTGGGACAATTTTGTTCCACCTCATGTACCATGTGTGATGCGAATTACAATTAAAAAACCTTGACAACTTCCTCCATCTCACTCTGTCCTCTGCATCCTCTGTCCAATGTCCTCTCAAACTGCATCCATTCATCTCCTCTTTGGCTTTTTCCTGGCAGCTGCATTTCTAACATCCTTCTACCAGTATACCCACTGTCCCTGCTCTGGACATGTCCAAACCATCTCAGTCTGGCCTTTCTAACTTTATCTCCCAGTTGTTCAACCTGCGCTGTACCTCTGATGATCTCATTCCAAATCTTATCCATTCTTGTCACTCCTAAGGAGAACCTCAACATCTTCATTTTCACCACTTCCAGTTCTTTCTCCTGTCTTTTTGCCAATGCCACCATACAACGTACAGTATCTGGTCTCATAAATGTCTTGGAAACTTTTCTTTTGACCTTTGCTGCCCTCTTTTAGTCACAAATCACTCCTGAAACATTTCTCCATCCACTCTGCCTGGACTCTCTTGTTCACCTCTTTACCACTCTCCCCATTTTCCTCGACAGATGACCCCAAGTACTTGAAGTCCTGCACCTTTGTGACCTCTGCTCTTTGTAGCCTCACTGCTCCACCAGCCTCCCTCTCATTCACACACGTACTCTGTCTTACTATGGCTGACTTTCATTCCAATTTTATTCCATTCAAGCTCAAATTTGGTGTAGTTGTAGCTGAGAGTACTCCTCAGCACATATTATGAGAGCTAACGGATCGCATATATCATTTACAAAGTTATAACTTTAACCTCTGTCATCCAAAGTTGGTCTTAGTTTAACATTTTGTCTGGCATAAACGGTGTCAGACAATATGCGTTCCTACAAGGAATGCTAGACCTTTAATTTAGTGAATGTGGTTGCAAAGAAAATTTGTTTATGTTTCGCGTTGGCTTTTTGTCCTTGCATAGAAGTTACTGCACTTTTACTTTGTTGTCATTAAAACTTCAAGTGGATTTAAAAGTAAATAATTTGTTTGCTGCTCATGCAAACGATGCCCACAGTCTGCATAAATCCCCTTCATGAGAATTGTGAATTAGCAGATAAAAATGTGGGAAAAAACACCAAAAATAAAACATTCTTGTATGCTGTCCTTAGCAAGTGGCTGGTCAAATAAATATATTACAGACAGATAGAATATGCTCAACAAACAACACTTGTGACATAAGTGGCAAGATGAAATGGCATTCTTTGTTTCCAGAAACTGAAGGGAAGGATGTGATAAAAGAGAGGCCGATGGCAAGTGACCGTGTGCTCATGATTCAGTGAAACCAAGCAACAAGCAGCAGCGTTATTAAGCCCTCAGCTCCCAGAGGGAAGAGAACTCAGTAAAAATTGGATGTGCTATCAGAGCTAGCTCATTATAGTGGGTCTACCTAATGAATTATAACACTAATGTCACTGAGTCCAGGGTGTCATCTTTCAGACTGGCAAAAATAAACACTTTAAATGAATTGACCTTTACTGTGGACAAGATTGACTTTCAGAGCAGCATTTGCTTTAAATTGGCATTTTCAGGAGGGTCATTTTTATCCTCTGAAACACCATGTGTAGTTTTTCTAGGCCTTCCATCTCTCATGGGACCAGTGGCCCAAATCATATGGCTGCTCTAAAAATAATTGATCTAGTTTCATTTGGTGGTCTTGTAGAAGGTAGAGTTTAAGAATTAACCCTTAGGTCACTGATGGGCTGCATTAGCTACATACAATACGTTTTACTTCAAAACAAATTTGTGTTGTTGTTTTTTTTTTGTCATGTCTTTCACCTCCTCTCCTTTTAATTGTGTTGATCCAGATTCCAACTATTTTTTTTCTGTTTTCAATTTTTCTGTATGTTTCTTTTTTATTATTATTTTACAACCAAATTGTACTTTTTGCACTATTTTAGCCCTTCATACTGTATATCAAAACGTTAAGCTCATTTGATAGGTCAGCACTGTGACTTTAGGTTAGTGTAACTTTTAAACTTTTCAAAATATTTAACATTGAGACCTTTTTCAGGTTTTAAAAAACATAATGGATGGATGTTCCCTTTGACATTGTCTTCAGCACATTTGCTCTATTTTTTTGTTTGTTTGTTTAGCTACTTTTAGTTTTTGTTCTCATAGCTTTTAGCTAGCCTTTTGCTTTTTAAGCTTCTATCCTTTTGCTACTTTTAGCAAGCTTTTTGTTGGCTTTTAGGAAACCTTTTGCTACTTTAGCTTTTAGCTAGCCTTGTGCTACTTTTAACTAGCTCTGTTGGTTTTAGGAAGCTTTTTTCTATTTTAGCTTTTAGCTAGTTTTTTGCTACTTTACCTAGCTTTTTGTTGGTTTTAGGAAGCTTTTTTCTACTTTAGCTTTTAGCTAGTCTTTTGCTACTTTTGACTAGCTTTTTGTTGATTTTAGGAATCTTTGCTACTTTGGCTTTTAGCTAGACTTTTGCTACTTTTAACTAGCTTCTTGTTGGTTTTATGAAGTTTTTTGCTTCTTTAGCTTTTGGCTAGACTTTTGCTACCTTTAACTAGCTTTTGATGGTTTTAGGAAGTGTATGCTACTTTAGCTTTTAGCTAGTATTTTGCTACTTTTAACTAGCTCTTTGTTGGTTTTTGAAATTTTTACTACTTTAGCTTTTAGCTTGCTTTTTGCTACTTTTAACTAGCTTTTTGTTGGTTTTAGGAAGCTTTTGCTACTTTAGCATGTTGCTACTTTTAACTAGCTTTTTGTTGGTTTTAAGAAGTTTTTTGCTACTTTAGCTATTAGCTAGCCTTTTGCTACTTTAACAACTTTTTTCTAATTATAGCACTTAACTAGCACTCTGCTTCTTTTAGTTTTATCAAGCCAGTTTCATCTTTTTGAGCAAATATCAGCCAAGTCATTCTGTTTTAGCATTTACACCACATTTTAGCAGAAAATGCTAATTGGTTTGTTTTTCATTTACGTCCACCAATTATTTTCTCAAGTCTGTTGAACTAGTTTACAAACACAGAGATCTGATTGGACAACATAAACAGTAAGACTGAGATGCATTTCTCTTTTTTTAATTGTTAGAATTTAATGTTTGAAAAAAAGTGATTAATTTAATGATTAGTGATCGACTCAACCAAACACAAACAATTCCAGACATATTGCATTTACCTGGCTGTTTTTTTTGGGGGGGGTTTAGCTTAGTTGAGCATTTTTTTAGATCATTTTGTTCTTTCCTGTCCCTTTTAGTGAGGATATGTTCAAATCACCATGCTGAATCTGAGGATACTTGAAGAAGAGGTGGAACATAAGTAAAGAACTCATTAAATTCTGATCCAGCTGCCTTGATAAGAGACAGTCGTCTTTGAGTGCCCTTAAAAGGGGATCAGATAAACTGAAGCTTCACTTTCTACCTGGAACATAATCATTTGTGTTGCATGTTTATAGAAGAATATTTGGTCTATTTAATGAGCTTGACCGCTGAACACAATGGAGTTTGGGTTTTGAAATAGCCGCTCGTGTCCAATTTATTTTCAGACTGACTGAGTTTTGTCTTTTGTCTGTTCATCAAATGCACATCAGTGAACATACAAGGGTGGGACAAGCTGAAAGGACAAACAGTGCACACCAGCTGCTGTTGACTAGAGCAACCACAGTCACAGTTTACACCTCCACACAGACATATTAAAGTAGCTCAAATTAATTAATTCTGAACATTTTTTTTGACAGGATCAGTTTGTAAGTAAGTTGTATGTAAGTTGTCCATGGCTTTTCATGTCAAAAGTTTTAATCAAAAAACATGTTATGAGGCCAGAGTTAAATCTGTTTTGGCTAAAACTTAGAATAGCTTTATGTGATCCATCCTTTTATCCATCGTGTTTTATCAGCTTTTTCCTTTTCAGGTTGTGGGGGTCACTGGTGTCCATGTCCAGCAGTCACTGTACAAGAGGCAGGGTACACCCTGGACAGGTCGCAAGTCCATCACAGGGCCGACTTTATGTGATGTGAAATTGTGACTTTAAGGCCTGTCACGATAACAAATTTTGCTGGGCGATTAATTGTCTCAGAAATAATTGTAATAAACGATAATATTGTTTGAAATTTGACAATAATTAGTA